CTGGTTGAACCTCATCCCACTGGCCTCGGCTGAGGCTGGGGTGGCATCCCTGGGGGCAGCACCCCTGGGGCTGGGCAGGGCAGGAGCCAGCATGTTGCCCACAGCCCGTTACCTCTGCGATGAGCTCGGCCAGCCCCGGGTTGCAGAGCAGGAGCCAGCGCCGCGGGGTGATGCCGTTGGTCTTGTTCTGAAACTTTTCTGGCTCCAGCGCTGCGAAGTCCTCGAAGCTGAGGACGAGGAGAGGACCAGCTCCAGGCTCACCCACACGGCCCCACCACCATTGCCCAGCCAGGGGTGACCCCCCGCTGGCCTCTCCCTCCCCCTGCTTACACCTGAGTCCTGACGATCTCCGAGTGGATCTTGGCCACGCCGTTGACGGCGTGGGAGCCCACGATGCAGAGATGGGCCATGTTGATCCTCTTGGTGCCTCCCTCCTCTATCAGGGACATCCTCCGCAGCCGCTCCACGTCGTTGGGGAAGAGGGAGGCGATGTGCTGCCAGGGGGGGACAGAGCTGGTGGGTGGTGCTGGGCTTTAGGGATCCCCAACTCCATGGATCCCAAAGACGGGGCCACCGTGGTGTCCCCGGTGCCTTCAACACTGGTCAGAGCCGTGGCTTTTACTCCAGTGTGACAGTGCAAACCCCCTCCAAAGGGTGCCCTTCCCCAGCAGGGATGTCTTTGGGCAGAAGGACACCCCAAGACCCCACAGAGAGGGGGCACATGCTTGACCAGCGGGGCCATTTGGGCAAAAGCCTCAGCCTTCTGCTCTGCTAGCACATCTCCTTTACACCCCAACCTCATCCTTCTCCAGGGTGAGTTTAGGGAGCAAAGAAACACTAGCAGGTACATCCCTGCAGTCTTTTAAATAGCCACAAACTGCAAGATGGCACCAGACTGGTGGGAAGGACTTTCCCATACACCAACATCCCAAAACAGCACCTGGCCACACACCCAATGTCAACCCTTTGTTGATCCCAACAGCACAGCCCAGGTCATCCTCCTCCTCCCTGTCTCTGCCCGAGGCGCTTACGTCCAGGTGTCTCTGGTTGATCTCATAGATGATCTGGAGGTGTCTGGGGAGCAGCTTCTCCACCAGGTCCACCGGCCAGCGCTCCAGGGCTTCGGGGAGCACCGTGTGGTTGGTGTAGGCGAAGGTCTTCTTGGTGATGTCCCAGGCCTGCCAGGGGGGAGAGCCCGTGCTGGGGTGGAGCCCTGGGTGAGTGCCAGCACCCACACGTGGTCTTCCCACCACGGCCAGCAGCACAGCTGAGCCAGCTTCTCCCACTCCACAGCAGTTAAACCCAACCTCACTGCTCCACGTCGCTCCCAAGGCCGCCAGCAGCTACGAAACTGGTTGCCCAGCTGCGGGCGAGCAGGAGGGACCCAGGGGCCAGGCTGGGTCTCCCTACCTTGTTCCACGGCAACTTTTCAATGTCCACGAAAATCCTCATCAGCTCAGGGATGGCCATGGCGGGGTGGGTGTCGTTCAGCTGGATGGCGACCTGCGGGGACACCGAGGGGGCACGTGGCGGGCACAGCCGGGCACGGGAACCCACGGAGGGGCCACAAAACATCCCCAGCCCTGGCTCTGCACCTGGGAGGTGTCGAACTGAGCTCCAAGGAGCACATCCGAGCAGCCCTGGGCCATACCTGGTCGGGGAAGGAGTCAAACACCGTCCGGACGCTGTCCGTGCTTCCGAATTTGGAGGCTTTGAAGCGCCGGATGATGTCCTGGAGGGTGGCAGCCACCACGAAGTACTCCTGCTTCAGCCGCAGCTCCTTCCCCTCAAAGAACTGCCAGCAGAGGAGGGGCATGCTGAAGGACTGCCCCACGTCGGGCTGCACCTCCTCGGGGCTCCATGCCCACGTGGGCACACACACCAGCATGTACCCAGCACGCGGTGCCAGCCCCCAGTGCTGCTCTGGGCAGCAGCTCACAGCTCAGTGTCTCCTCACTGCCCTTCCTCACCCTCCTCTGCTCCACAGCTTGTTCTGTGGGGGGAAGGGCCGTGCACCCCCTCACACCCTGTGCAGCATGGCAGGAGCACCCACAGCTATGGGCTGGGAGGCAAAGGGCAACTGGGGGCACAGACTCCAGCCCTGGGCTGCAAAGCGTGGGCTGGGAGATGCCAGCAGGTAGGCGTTGAGATTTGAGGAATATTTCTAGAGCAGGATGTGCTTGTCCCCACTCCCTCTACTGTGCTGAGCATGGATTTCATAGTTGTAGAATCCCAGACTGGTTTGGGTGGGAAGGGACCTTCAATGGTCACCCAGTCCAACCCCCTGCCCTGAGCAGGGACATCTGCAGCTAGAGCGGGTTGCTCAGAGCCCCGGCCAGCCTCACCTGGGATGGTTCCAGGGGTGGGGCAGCAACCACCTCTCTGGGCAGCCTGGGCCAGGGGCTCAACACCCTCAGCAGCCAAAATTTCTCCCTTCTCTCTAGTCTGAATGTCCCCCCCCACCTCTGCCAGAGCCCTGGGCAGAGGCAGCAATCCCCACCTGAGTGCTACAGGAGCAGCCCTAAACCATCTCTTGCAACGTCCTGGCAAGAGGAGCCCTCCCTAAAACAGGGACCCCCCCTGCACCCCGACTTACATTGTCGTTGGGGTAGAGGACACGGGATATGTTCTCTGCCAGGTTTCTGTCCAGCACAGCCTGGATGTAGTCCCCCACGTTGACTGGCGAGGAGCAGAGGGATAAGGTGGGCGCGGGGGGACCCCTCATGGGCCCCATCCCGCTGAGCACCCCCCCAGCACCCACTTACAGTCCCGCAGGTTGAAGTCATTGGGCGCCCGGGCCGACCAGAGCCGCATGGTGTTGACGGTGTTGTTCATGTACCCGGGCACGGGGGTGTCGTAGGGCAGTGCCAGCACCACCTGGGACACGGGCAGGGCAGCCA